GGGTACATGATAGAGCGCAGCCTTGCTAATGACTTTCTGTAACAAAGGTACACATCTGATCCAACCTGAAAAAGAATTATGAAATGAACTGTCACGAGTACCAAATATCTTACTGAGTAGCATTCCAGTGAATTGTGCAGCTCTTGATGAACATAAAACCTCTGCATGTCTTAAATATCACATGACTCAAGCAATCACAGAAAAAAAAAAATGAAAATAAAACCTACCATGCCTTTGTTGAGATTCCTGTCGATCAAGCAAAATGCATGTGGTGGTTTTTCATTCTACAGGAAAACAATAACCCTTCATTATAAAATGTTACTTGAAAAATCACTCAGATGGAACCACAGAGCGGACCCAGAATTTTCTCTTCTCACCAGGCCCACTTTCTCTTGCTGACACGCCTACAATCCACACTGTTGTTTTTAGTTATTCATTACTACTCATTGAAGGCACACAGGAAAGACACACAACAAACAGCAATGGAGAGGAATGTGGGCCGGTGAGCAAATTAAAGAAATTGGGCAAAGCAGAAAGACAAATATGCAAGTCCTTTCCATAGTTCCCTGGTTTTTTTAGTACAGACTCTGGAACTGCTACATCAAAGACATTCTATTTACATAATAAATTAAGGATCTTAAACAACTCAGTTATCATTTCATTAACAAATACCTTGCTTGTTATAATAACACAAATCTCTGTGACTGCCAGTGAGGAGTGAGCCATTCTGTGGGGTGCTCGACGATAAGTGATGAATGTTCTATTTCCACCACTGTTGTTAACATTAGCTGACTTTCCTGTTTCGGTATATGTCACAATGTCACATCCTGCCATTAAGCGGTCTTTTCCTTCATAAAGGACTCTACAATCACATAATGGCCGATACACAGAGTTTTGTCACTCACAAAGATAACTCCAACTTACATACTTTTGACTACGACCCCTGGTTGTAAGAACAAAATAAGACTTTGATAGTTCTGATCAAGTGCAAAAATCCCACACCAAAACAAAGATAATGTAATGATATCAAGGCTCATTACAAAGGCTCATTACAAAGGCTCATTACAAAGGCTCATTACAAAGGCTCATTACAAAGGCTGATGACACTTTAAGATCAGATATTAAATTTACAAGTACAATATCCATGATCTTTCAAGGTACCATTTTCCACCACTGATAAAACAGGTAAAGTTAGCCTTACCAGGCCCCAAAGACATAAAGTGAAAGTGTGGGGGTGGGTAGGTTATGTGCTGGGGCCAGAGATCCTGCTACTTAAAAAACACACACTACAGAAATTTTACAAAATACTGGCTGGAAGAGAGAACCAAGCCAGGAAACTGGCTCTCAAATGGGTGGTGTTTGAAGCTAAAAAGGTATTAACATTTCAAGGATGGATATCCAATGACCAGAAATAGAACATGGAGTGGGCTGTTGGATTATGTTGTCCTTCTATCAGAAAAGCAACTAGAATCTCTCGCATGTTTGGCACAGAGGTTGTTTCACTGTATATCACCTCAATATGTACTTATAGGTAATAATTCTATGATAATCTTAACTCTTTACCCCCTAACATCAGTATGCTTATTTTCTACACTATTCTCTCTACATTTTCTATAATATTGAGAAGGAGAACTTGTTTCATAGTCATTATATTCTTTCCTGGTGATCATTCTCCCTATTCTCACAAACTTATGTTTGATTTAGAGATAATACTGTGAGGAGAAATTAAATGCTGGTCACTCTTGTAAAAGTAAAATGATTAAGTGTAAAAATCATACATGTAGGTGCCTGTTGGAAATTGATACATTGTAATGAATTTCTTACCCAATATCAGTCAATGGAGGTTTGTCTGTTCCTCTGCGAATGCAGAGGTAACATGATGGCTGTCTTATGGAGCCATGATTAAGATCAGCAGGAAATCCTGCGGGGGTTTTGTCAATGCATTTGTATCCAATTGGAGGTTTTTCTCCCAAACTCTTGAATATCACAGTAATGTCTGTGATTGGTTCCAGAATATTCCTTTCATCATCCAAGTGTATAGCATTCTGAGTTGACTTGCCATTACCAAGGCCAGCTACTACAAAGTAGTCTCCTACTCTCAGAGGTTTTTCACAGTCAACCATACTCCTGAGACATCATCCTTTAAGGAAAAAAAATAGTATTGTAGGTAAAATAAACAATTATCATGTTTCCAGGCAAAATTTTGTTTCAAAACATAATTTTTTTAATTTATCCTCTTAGCGTGAAACCAAAGCCTCAATCCTATCAAACTTCAAATACTTTTGGTTATTTACTTTTTCTTAACGACTTTATAGATTTAGAAAGATTGATTGTCAGCCTATCTAAATTCAAATGTTACCTGTGAAGAACATATTTACCATTTTCATGCATTCTCTCTAAAAGTTTGTTTGATCACATTAGTTAATAAATTTGAACTTTTGTTAACACAAATAGCTGGACCTGTCATGGTTGACAATATGTTTTACAGATGGAATCAATGATATCTTTCAACACCAGATGTGTGTGCCATCATTGTGGTTAACAAGGAAAGAAAGGCTTGATCCAAACCCAAGGTCAAGTGTAAACTTCCTGTTAGCTTTGAAGAACATATAGATAAGATATCTTATCATGTTTCTGACAAAAACTCTAATGAGTTGAGGAATAAACTTAAGGTAGTTTATCAAATATTTTTCTAAAAGGTCAACAATCATGTGACTGAAAATTCTCTGACTTAATTTGACTAACAGTTGAAGTAGTTTGTCAAGTTTTTTCAGGAAGAAATGTTTCAGTTTTGATTTTGGTTTCTAGCAACATGTATATCAGTTTTACATAAATTGTTACATACTGTTCTTTCTTTGATTTTAACCTTTGCCTCTCCATTAAATACTCTTGGAATTTAACACACAACACTAGCAATTGATCAAGATGTTATTCATTCAGTTATCAAACTGTTGATCTCTCTGCCACTATTTTTGAAAATAATTGAATTCAGCTAGAAAACTAGATTGTTTGGGGTTGGAGTCCTCTTAAAGAAAGGGGAATGGGGGAAGGGGGTGAAATCAGAATTTCGTTCCATCCCAGGTTTATAAAAAATACACATATTACATGGCATATACCACATAGCATGAAAACTTTGGAGATCTATTAAGTCTACAGATTGGTAATCTTTTGAGTTTTGCTGGAACAAAACTTATTGAATTAAGATTCATCGAATTTCTGGAGTAATTTTAATTCCACATTTTTCATGTCTTGCAGCTAAATATTGACAGAAAAGGAAAACAACATTTAAAATGTTAGTACAGGGCACATGTATACCTTGTGACTTATACCCAAATAGTTGGATATTTTGAACGAGTCCATAAAAGCACATACAAATTAAAGGACACAAAATTCATGCAAGGATTTTTACCAGGAGAGAGGGTAGTAAATTTGAATCCAAATTTTTATTGAGTGATTTTTTTGTGACATCATTTTAAAAATCCCCAAAGAAATGCCTCTAGCCCAGAAGTCAACATAAACATAAATGCAAATATCTTCAAAAAGCTTTTCATCCAGACACGTCTCAAACCCAATCCTTAATTAGAATATTATTCCAAGAACTTCCACGAAAAAGCACTTAAAAGTGTAAGATATATATATTTTTTCCAGTGCGGTACATCTGTATCATAAACCGGAAATACTTGTAATTAGCATAGTGAGAGTTTCATTTTAAGACATGTTTTCTTGTCATATAACAATTAAACGAAGACAAAACATTTGGCATCAAAACTACACCAAAAATTGCAAACTGCAATGATCAGAGTCAAATCAACCGAGTTACATTTCAATAATTTTCCACGCAAAACACTCGAGCGAGGGAACCTCAACAATGGCGAAGTAGCATCTGTAACCAAATACCTTCTGATGCGCAAAAAAACTGGTAGCATTCAATCAGCGAAAATCCTATTTCATTATCAACTAACATGTATCTAAAATTACACTGTTCCGTCATCTTTCGTTTTCACGTCGTCCAAGAGTAGTGTAAGTACGTATCTGACACAAAACCCTCAACAATACATCTTGCGATCTCGATACAAAAAAGGTCGAAAATGTGGCCACAATACCACAAAAAAAAACAGGCAAAGTATATCAGGCTGAGCGGAAGACGCTCCAGATCGCTTTCTGAAATCTGGCGATCGAAGAGCAAGGGACGAAGAAGAATCAAATTTGAAATAAGCTTTGCCTTGTAAACCAAATTTAAAAATCACACCCACCTCACTGTAATAAAGTTTAAATATGTCAATTCGAGGCGAACATTTCAAAAAAATTTCAACGACTTCCCCTTACACTTGCATTTAGAAGTCGCGAAAAGATGACGGAATATTTAAACCGGCTTTACCTGCGTTTGTGAATCAACAATTTAACACAACGTAGTAATAATACAGTGCCAGAAAAATTTCACACAGATCAATTACTTTTTTAGATCGCGTTCATTGAGTTCATCCAATATCATATAACTTGGTATGTCGCATACAGATACAATTTTTTCAACGTTCCTTTTCATCGACAAAAACGACATTTTAGGCTCAATGAAATGAAAAAGAACAAAAGTACACATCGTCTATAAACGTAAATAAACTCTCCGCCGTACGGAAAACGTGATTGCCGTAAGTTTCAAATCGTTTTCAAAATCTGAGAAAAGTACCTTCACTGTGCATCAAGAAATAAATCTTTGTCGTTCGAATTTTGCTCCATATCGTCTGCAGCAATTTCATCCTCAAAAGGGGTGAGTTTCACGGTGTAAAAATCCGTCGGAAAAAGCCACGAGGAGCCAAACACCGACGAAAAACAAAAAAAGTCTAATTAATGGGAGGCTACCAAGTCTTCCAAACTCTTACTCTTACTCTAGGGTAGAGAGGGTATTTCACAATACTAAAAGGGGTAGACTGGGAAGGTTTTTAGTCATATGACATGCTTATGATCGTGTCGTCATCGTTGGCATGAGCGTTAGAATTAATTATTTGAAAGTGGGATAGAAAAGTGACACGTTGAAGAATCTCCGTGAGGAGGAATCTTTACCCCTACTTTTGAAAATTGTTACTGAAAACTTTACTAAAATGATCAGTCTGGAATTCTCGAACCACATTAAGACGTTCGATTACAAGAGTCAAAGAAGCGACTTAGAGCGCGAGGCGATCGAAAAGGTAATAGCAGGCGAATCGCTACTTTCTGTGTTTGAGAAGCACAAATTATCCCTGGAAGAGCGAAGGAAGCTCTTGAAGACTAAAGTTGCCTATCCACACAAAGGCGAGGAAAGCAGTCTGTTTTTGCTCTCCATCGCGTGCGGTCACGTGGACTTAGCCAAAAGCCTTATTGAAGAACAGGTGGTTGACATCGAGGAGAGAGGAACAGTGCTAGTAGGAGTGTATAAGGATGGAGGGTTTGGCTACGAAGTGGGCGAAGATGTCACCCCTTTATGGTGTGCTGCTGCTTGGTGTAAGTTTGAACTTGTGAAATTGTTGGCAAAGCATGGAGCGAATATTAATCACAGATCAAAGGTCGGTTCAAGCCCTCTTCTGGTAGCTTGTCGGTACTTCCACTTAAACAGAGCACGACAAGTGCTTCTGGGGAAACCTGACGTGCCGGTGCAACTTGAGCTTGTCAAATTTCTTCTGGATAATGGAGCAAATGTGAATGAGGCTGGTCACCTTGGCGACACTCCCTTAACTGCAGCTGCCTTGTCAGGATTTAAAGACCCATCCCTTGTGGCTTATCTTCTGGAAAAGGGTGCAGATCCAAATGCTAAGAATGCTCTTGGCTTCACTGCTCTGCACTTAGCTGCACAAAAAGGTTGCTTAGAATCAGTTAAGGTGCTGATTAAAAATGGAGCGCAGCTAGAAGCAGGTGATACTGAAGGAATTACGCCTCTTCAACTTGCATGTTGTGAATGTCATGATAGTGTTGTGGAATGGATAATTTCACAACCAGACTGTAGCAGAGAGTGGAGGATCGATGCCCTGGAGCTTCTTGGTGCCTCTCATGTAACTTCCATTGATGTTGATGATATTGAGTATCCTAGCGAAGGACAAAGTGAAGAAGAGTATGCAGATGACATGGAATCAATCCAGCATGGATATAATCTGTTGCTAAGAGCAAAGAAGGAGCGCTTTGAGCCACCCACTAACATTGTTAAGCAGGTTTTATCACCTCTTACTGTATATAATAATCAGCTAGAAAGTAAGAGCCTTGAAGAACTGGAGGCATTGTCTACTAACCATGAGGTCATTCAAATAGAGGGTTTCCTCATCAGGGACAGAATTCTTGGTGCTTTGCATTCATCAGAAATTCTACAGCCACTCTTCAACAAAGCTATTGTTTTATCCCACAAAGAGGAACTTCAGATGGCAGCCAACTTCTACAGCCATGCATTATCATTTAGACTTGTGTCTTCTGATTCAAGTAGAGAAATATTGCGAAGACTTCTTGACCTCTTTGCAAGCATGATTGAAAAGGGCATACAGCTGAAGACTGCCAATCTTGAACCAGTGCACCAGTACATTTTAGTGTGGCTCAAAATTCTGACACAGGAGAGAGAAAGACAGCATTTATCTCATTTTGAACAGCAAGAGCTGAAATGGGCTTTTGACCACAACCTGCTTTTGGTATTTTATTTCATTTGCATCTTGAGTAATATCAGTGCTCACTCTGATGAAGAAGCCAAGAAGAAAAAAGAGATGATTAAAAAAATAATGGACCTTAAACTGCAGAATTCTCAGGGCTCTGATATGTTCCATCTAGCTGTCTGGGATTCAGTCATTGAGGTCCACAACAAAGTATGCCTAAAAGAAATTTTCAAAGTGCCCAATATGAAAGTCCTGGAGATTTTACTACAAAGTGGTGGAAACATAAATTCACAAGATCATTCAGGGAATACCCCTCTTCATGTTCTTATGTCAGTTGATCCAAAGCTTGCCATTGTTCCATCAGATTTCAAGGAAAACAAAGGGAAGGACTATATCAAGTGGTTTGTTCAAAATGGTGCAAAAGTAGATTTGAAGAACATGACAGGGGAATGCCCAGTTGATGTAGCAGTGTCAGAAATTGCAAAAGAATTTCTGAAAAAATTGTAAACTTTACAGAGCTCTGACAAAATATTGTTCATAATTTATTGAAGTGGTCCATATGAACAAATGTTAGACTCAACCTTATTTAACCCTTTCATTCCTAGGAGTGACCAACTGGTAATTTCTCCTCACAATATCAACATGTTATCATACTGAAAGGTGTCTAGGAAAATGAAAAAATCAACTGAGAGATAAGGCTTGATTTATCACCTAATTCTCAGAGCAGAAATTAGAGGAAGTGTTTAATGGACAGGAGAAGAATTGATCAGATGTTGTGGGTGTTAGGGTTTGCAGTGAAATTTAGAGTTACATTTTGTTTTGCCATTCTAAAGGAGTGGTGTATGTTATTTTACTAGTGTTTACTCTGTGCCTCTAAGGATGCTTACTGGTTTATGTTCTGTTGATGAGAACAATGTAATAGGGATATCTAGCACCCAGAGAAAAGAGACATTGTCAAAGTTTGTAGGAAAGGGGATATATATTAACCACAAAAAAAATTATGTTAACCTTATTTGTGATGAAGCTTCTTTCAATTTTTGCCAATGGAACTGCTGATGTCAGTTCAAAACAGGAGGCTGGTGATACATCACTTCGAAGTGACTTTGGTGATATGAAGTTCTGTAGCATCCAGTCATAAACTAAGTACTTTTAGACTGCATGTTATTTAACAGTTATTCTACAAGGGTTCGCCAAATTTGAGGTGATAAATAACCAAGGAGCAGGAAGTGCCTGAGTAGAATAACTTTTTCAGTTTATAGGAACACAAAAAATAATGCATTTGCTATTACTGGTAGTTCTATTATTTCTTTAGTTGTAAGCTTTTCAGTTTTCATCAGTAGTAGATATAAACAGGACTCTTTAGCCAGAGCTTGTTGATAGTCTTAGATCATTACTCAAGGTAGAAAATTTTTGTAATCTTAAGGAAGGTTTTGTAGAATTTTATCTTAAATTTATTGCTGCTATTACATCACTAGTATATATATAACAACAAGTATTACAAGTCTGATTTAATATTTAAAATGTGTATCTCAAGTATGAATTTGCCCATATGTGCTAAACAAGTTTTCAAATATAGTCAAATAAATAAATTGGCATCAGACAATCAGGGCATCTAGGTGTAAAGATAGGTGTGGATTTTGTAACTTCACTCAATCCTTAACCCTAAAAGGTGTCTTAAATTGGAAAGGTAGACAATTTCAATGCCTTTTTTTTACCTCAAATGGGGGGCTTTAACTCCCATGACTGACCAAGACAGAATTTCTCCCTGCAATATCAACACAATATCAACCAGATGAGTGACAAGAATAATGAAAAAATATCAATTTGGGGATAATTAGTTGATCCAATACTAAATTTTCTGAACTAACTTTATAAGAATTGTATGGTTGATAGTAAGGAGAAGGACAAATTTGACCTGGGGAGTTAAAGGGTTAAAAATTAACCCATTAACTCCCCAAAGTGACTATCATGTAACTTCTCCTTTAGTACGCATATGAAATTCAGCAGAAAGGGTATTGAGAATACTTAAACTGATCAGGCAGAGTTATCTTGATTCAACACCAAATTCTTGTTAGAGGAGAGGAATAACAAACAGATCTTTTAAGTGAAAGAGAACACCCCAGGCCTATACCCAGAATATCTGTGAATCTAAACCTCCCTACCCTCCACCCCTCACAACCATGTGAAGTCTCATCAAGAGAGAGATTGGCTTGAAATTTTACTTGAAACGTCCATTTCTTTCGCAGGGGATATATATTAAACAAATAGATTCCACGTCACCGTACGTCTGTTCAGCAATAGATCAGAGATGACGTCAATAAGGACGTCATCCATGCGTATGTCCTCTCATAAGAACTAATCAAAATGCCGCGTATTAGCAAACTTGCATATTTTTGGGAGGGGGTGGGGGCTTGGGTGGGGGGAGATACCGACTGTTTTTACTTAAAAAATTAATTTGTGGAAGTTATCAGCTCTCGAATCCAATGCAGGTGAACTGCGAGGATAATGAAATTTAATAAATTTCGGAAAAGAAGGATGAAAAAATTCAGGTTTCGACGGGAGTCAAATCCGGCCATTCCTTCCACTGGGTGTTACATCACTTCATTTATTTCATTTTTGTTTAAGGATATAATGATCAGAAGTGGGGTTTTAATTTCTACTGATTCATCGGTCTCTGAAAATGTAAGGTTTGTCGTAAGAATTCTCTATCAACTTAGCGGGAATGTTTATTTGACACGTGGTTACATCAGATAGAATATCAGATTTTAATTATATGTGGAAGTGAAACAGCAAAAGTTACTTAATTAAAGTAGTCTTTTTTTTCAACTGGAAAAGTGCATTTTTACCCTCAGCGGACAAGTTGAGTCACAGAAGCAAAAGGTACCGTATCTAATTTTAAAATTAAAGAAAAGGAGACAAAACAACAAAAATAAGAATTATTTTGGACAGAAGTTGACCCTTTTTCTTTACGGATCAAGGAACGTGAAAAAATCTGAGTCCCTCTTGAGGATTCAAACCTCAAGCAGTTAGCCCAAATAAGGCGATCCCAGCTGGGAGGAGAGTTTCGTGCGCTTCATTCAGTGCTTGTTTATTTTCGCGTTGCCCATACTTCGGTCTCACCCTCTGGTACCTCGGCGTAAGCTCGTACCGTTTTTGTTTTTTTATGTTTTTCATTTTCGCTTTCTTTTTTATTTTGATACGAGCAATAAGCCGTTAAATAGGTCTCAAACCCGGAGGACAGATCCATTTCGTTTGTCGGCTGTAACCACCAGAGGACTGTGTCTGTATTCAAGCGGGGATTTTATTTGGTCATTTCTCCAGCACCCTTGAAATTAAAAGTCAGAGGAATGCAAAAAAAAATATTGCTGGGTCGGAGAGCAAGTCCTTTTGAACTAAAGAGTAAGCCCTTGATGCAGTTGCTGGAGAAACAGTAGTAGCAAAATCTCACTTTCTTCATTTCGCTCTCAAGCTTTCTAACAGCTGAGCAGAAAAGAAATAAGTTGAATTTCGTGAGGATTCAAACCTAACTTTTTCTCAATTTCGCTCTCAAGGTCTGCAACAGCTGAGCAGAAAGAAATGGGTTGACCTTCGTGAGGATTCAAACCTCACTCCTCTTGAATTTTACATCCTATGATCTGCCAGCACCCTTGACATTCAAAGCCAAAGGAATACAAAAACATTTTGCTAGGTTCGAGAGTATCTCCTCTTGAACTAAAGAGTGAGAGTGCTTGACAATTGAGGGAGACATATCAATATTGACTGAAGCTCATGGAGTTGAGCCTCAGTTTTTGATACACTGAATTAAATCGGGAAGAGCAGAGAGGAGCACATGGGGCTGTGGATGGTCGCCGATACTCAGTGATCCACGATTTTGATGATCAGTTTTGATAAATCACCAAAGAAAGGAAGTCAGTGAGTGATCTAAAAGCCATTCATAACGATGGTCCGAAGCTGAACACCGTTGACCGAGTACAACTCTCGCTCATGGGTGTAGGCGGGACTTTTTCCAAGAAGGGAAGAGATCTTTAAAAAAATTGGTCATTAGTTTGTTTACAATCGTAAGACAAAAAGACATGTAATAATATGATCTTCGTTACAATCATTTATTTCCCATAATCAAAAAACCTGCAATGTAAATTTCTGTAATAATACTCCAAGTCGCTCGTCGTTAACGAAACTGGTGTAAGCTCTGGCGGGAATTCGAGCTAGAAAAATTTAAGCAAATTACAGTTTTTGCTCGAAAGAAGCGAACCCCTTGTCTTGATCAAAAGAATACCAGTCAATTGTTCGCAAAAGATAGTGCTTAACCAGACATACTGAGTGGATATTGACTTGTGCAATTGGTTATATACTACAGAATCAGTTTGGACCGCTATTATTATAGAAGAAACGACATATTGAGTATCGATGGACATTTTTGTTAGGTTGGAAAAGGAAAGCACAGTTTTAACTACAAGCAAGCCAACATTGAACTTGAAGCACTGAATTTTACCTACTTACTTCTGTGCTTGCTTTTGTTACGTTTGCATAAGATCATTTACTCATTGGCCATAATCGGATAGGCCTGAAATCACTCTTCTTAGACCTAAAGATAAAAGCAATGAAGGTGCAAAATATATATATTGTAACAGGACCAGTCTCAAAGTGAATACAAAGTATCAGAGAATGAAAACTAAGACGCGTCATTGTCGCCACCAAGAGCCCAGAAGTGTGTGTATGAATATTTTTAACATCGATCGTGGTTCTCTTCAGTGCCATCGCATAGTAATGTACTACAGACAAGACTTGTGGCTCAGTTTATTCAATTAACGCTCGTTTTTGTTCTTCTAAGATCCTATTCAGTGCTACCAAGTCCTTAGCCATGGCGACACATTCGCTCTTCAATCCCTGTAGTTCATTCTTCATTTCCGCTGATAAGTTGTGCGAGACACGTCTTATGTGTTCTGCCTCATTTACAATCGCTTCTAAGCTTCTCTTTGAAGATCGAAGATCACGGTCGCCCCGATAAGTTTTTGTTTCTTCATCCGACGACATTAGATAAGAGGTTTCAATCAAACTTGCAGTTATATCATCTTTAAGCTCCAGTAATTCAACGATTGCCCGACGAGCGCGTCTGGTATTAACGCCGTGAAGGTATTCCATGGCGTCATCCAGGGCGTCGAGGACAATCTGCAACTGTTTCCTCCACTTTGCAAAAGAACGGAGATTGTCTCCTCTCGATGATTTTTCTCGTCTCGTTCTCTTTGTTTTCGAAGAATCTTGGCTGTATTTGTAAACGTTGTTTCGTGCACGTTCTTCCATTAATTTAAGCTTGGTCGCAAGTTTATCCCGTTGTCGGAGTTCGCTGTCTCGATTTCTATGGTGATAATGTAGCAAGTCGTTTGTTTGGTCAAGTCTTCTGTGTAAATTTTCTATCTGAAAGTAAACAGAATCTTGAGCTGGCATGCAAAACCCGCATTCAAACGCCATGATTGTTTCGTAGTGCAGGCGAAGAAGGTTTCGATGATGGACGCAAAGTGTCCAGTCGGTTGCAGGTGTTCAACTCTTAAAAGCCTAGCTTATCTTATCATTAATTCTCCCCTCTAGGTGCTACACAGTTCCTTGTACAGTAGTTAGGAGAATATGGATTTTTATCAAGAGTACACCCACTTGTTGACAAGTTTGCATATTCTCATTACCAATTTGCTGGATAGTAACTTGAGTTTGTTATGAGAAGTTGGGAGCTTTTGAATCCTGGGAGTCAAAGGGTTAACCGCAATTAATGCTAATGATTGGTTGTTGGGATGCGGTAGCGAATGAAAACGCAGAAAAATATAAGATGCTGATCTATTTTTAATTATAGGAGAGATACTTGATAGAGTGACTCTATGAATAGTGTCTCCTTCGATCTTGTTAAAAAAGAAAGTAGGAGATAAGACTCCGCTCACTTGTACTTGATAACCTGGATGAAAAACGTTCGTGGCGTCGGCGACCCAGCCAAAGAAAGCAAACTTGACTTCTCAAAAAAGATACTGCCCCCTTTTGCTAATTAATTAGTTCAGCTACATCGTGTTGGGCTTCTGGGGTAGCTTTGTCTCAGGGTAGAGTTATGCTTTTGATCTGAACTCGGAAAAACCAAAACTATATAAGATGAAATAAAGTTTACAGCGCAGTCGGCCTCGGTCTGCCACAAATTGTCCGGATTAGAATGTACAGGGCAGCCAACTTGTATATTTATTTATTTGGTTTTTCAGTCTTTTTGAGGAAAATTCTTTAAAATGGAATATTAGTTGGCGAAATGCGCTGAAAATCTTTATTGCAGGTATTTTTTAGTTG